CAGAGATGTAAGATGAGTAAAACACATTATGTTTGAATAGTTTTTATGTTATTTGTAAGGCAAAGGGCTGGTAATACTATAAAAATCAGACAAATGATCCCCTATGTATTTTTTTTTCACTTGCTAAATTATTTCAAATGAATAGCAGAAAATTTGCTTTCTGCACTCTATTATGAAAAGGTATCCCCACCCTCATAATTTTGATTATTTGTTATCTTAGCTATTGCTCAATTAATTTGTTCTATTAAGTTTTTCATTGTGGCCAGGATTTATTTTAATTAATATCCCATAGTATGATATATGCAATTAGTCTTTGCAAAAGACCCAAAGTGTGAATGGGGGAAGACAAGATTGAAACAATCCATAGATCTTTTTCCCTATGCAGAAGTGAAATACAGCATTTGTGGGTATTTCTGGTTGCCTAGTATTTCAAAAGAATCTGCAAGATATTTTTTGCAAAACAATATTTCTCCCATCTTTAGAGAAAGACATCTCTGTAAGTACTTAATGATCCAGAATTTCAGGGAAAGCTGCCCAAGATACAAATCTGGATGCATATTCCCAGGAAAGTTGCTCAATAAATAGGAGCCCGTATCCTGTATATACACTATATTGCCAAAAGTATTCGCTCACCATCCACATAATCAGAAGCAGTTGTGAGCGAATACTTTTGGCAATATAGTGTATATATTAGGTGAGGGTCATGTTGAATTATTTTTCTTTAGACCTCATCCGATCTTCCTAGATACCAAATCCAAATGTGCAAGATTGCTTCCCTCCATTGATTTAATTTGTGATTCTATGCACTGTTAGAATCCTGTTGCCTTTTGTCATTCATCTTTTCTTCTGGGGGAGCAATTGTACAAGCAGTGATACCGAAATCTCTTTTGCCTTTTGTCTGTTTTTGAGCCGTGCATCTCCTGAACTTTAAATTCTATAACATTTATGGCAAGTTACCGTTTCTCTTTTCTGCTGTAAATATTTTACCTATGTTAATAGTTAATTTTAAGTGCAGTGGGATGGAATTCGCCTAAGATGGAGAACGTTCCATTTTCCCTTCCCTTCCTCTTGTTCTGTTCCAATCTGGCCAAGAGATCTAAACATATCTGTGTGGTTCGCCATTATTTTCTACAAGCCATGAGATTAAAACATGCTGATCTCATTAGGCATGATGTATCTTTTGTCTAAGAATCACAGGCTCCCTTTGCAAGCAGTAAAATTTGCTGCCACTGGTTTTGCCAGACACATTATAAAGCTGAAAAGGGCAATCAGATTAATTGCAATATATTGCACGTCTGTTGCTGTTGTGGTTGTGGTAACTGTGCCTGTTTAACACATTGCTGCATAAAAGGAGGGTAACATTAGGCCCCTCCTGAGTCTCCTGCATAGATTATGAAATCAGTAATGCTGATTCTGTTCTAAGTTGCTGGATCTCCCACAGTATGTTGTGGTTATTTGGCACTTTTTCATATGGTGCTTTTTAACCCCTTCACTGGAAAGTCTAAATATGAGATCTCGGGGGAGTTGACTCTATTGCTCCTTTTCTCTGTGCCTTAATATTCTCACCTGAGACCCCCGCACACACCACATTATAGCAAAGACAGATTTCTACAGCAATTATTAGCATCCTTTGTCCAAATTGCATTTATTTGGGCAAAATGTGTTTGTGTGGACTTGGGAACTTTGCTGAAGTTTGTTTATTTTTTTCTGGGACAGCAAGTGAGGTTGTGGCTGTTATCATTATGGTTTGCACTTCCCTTTTTCCAGAAGATATTGGAGAGAATTTGGATAATGGAGTACAAAAGCGCCATTCACATTTTCTGCCTGAAGTAGTTAGAGAACTTGAGATATGAAGAAAGGAAGACAGAACAGGAACATGTTTCGTAAACACACAATCATCTGCCTTGCTTCAATTTGACTTGTACAATGTATTCATATGGGCTAACTTTTAGAATCCTGTCATTGGTTCTGGGCACCCAGAATTCCACAAACTGTCAGTAGATAATTGATATCCAATTAAAATAACAGACCAGTGGCACCAGAACTATGATGCGAAATACATACATACATACATACATACATACATACATACATACATACATACATACATACATATATGAATGACATAACTTTGGCCAAAGTAACATGAGTATGTTTGTAATTCTTAGTAAAGGAAGGTTGAACACTGTTCTTGCATAAATTATGGAGTTCAGCTCCCTGCAATTGGGGAGTAAGGTCAGTTCAATTATCTTTTAGTGCCAGCAGTAGGGAATTTTTATTGAGTAGGATGACGTATGACCTCAATATTTCAAAAAGACTTTGAAATTAGCATTTTTCTGCTATTCATTAAAGAAGCTGGACCTTTTTCCAGTTTTGACCTTGTGTAGAAGCCAGGAAAAGTGTTGCTACTGCTTTAAGGAATTACACTCACTGAAGGTGACTCTTACAAAGCAACAACATTTTTTCCAGCCATCTGAAGAAACCTGAACAAGGTCAGGCTCCTTTATTGAATTGCAGAACCTCTCATGCACTTCCAAATAATGTTTGAAGCATGCACAGACTTTCTACCGGTATTTATTTCAGCGCTACTTTGCTTCCAAATCATTTTCCTAACTATGTTGCTCTCAGTATACCTTGCTAATACTTGCACGGGTTAAAAAGTTTTCATCAGTAGCCTCCTTTTTAAATAGAATGGGTGAAAAATGTGACTGACTTGCAGATATTTCAGTGTTGGGGAGAGCTCTATTTTTTATTTCTATCAATGTATACCACATATATGTATACTGTGTGTACAAGCTGATTACGTTGAAGCAACCTTTAAGCAGTTTTAAGTAGTTTTGACACCCACAAAGCAAGTACAATAATAGTGTGACTTTTAAAAACTTAGAGCCATATGAAAGCACCAGTGCTGTGTGATGGGAAGAGTTTATTGTATATCCATACAGGAAAGAGATGAAAGAGATTATTGGTCAATGATTGCCTCCTGGGAGACCAACCATTTTAATACATGTGCTTATACATGAATCCCATCAAAGTAATATTGGCACTGCCTGCTTCTTGATCAGCTCCTTTCCTCTCAATCTCTCCTTGTTTTTTTTGTTTTGGCCATGTCACATACTGCGAGTTTTGTTTTACTATTTTTCCATATAGTTTAGATATTTGTATATAAATGGGGGAAAAAACTGTATAATAAGACAGAGTTACTTAGTTTTGTACCTACCATGTAATAACTGACGTGAGTTCAGAGACAAGCTGTTGCCTCTGTTTTTGTTATTTGTGATGTTATATACTGCTTTGCGGAAACAAGCAAATATGACAAATAAAGATATAGAGATAATATAGATTGTATTTATATATGTTTCTGCTGTTTTTGTTCATTTTCTTGGTGGAATTACTTTTTAAAAGGTAGCAATATTTTTTTTTTAATTCTACACTTTGCAAAGGTTGCAGAGAATTGCTTTGAAGCAGCAAAGGGTTACATGACATATGGGAAAGACTTGAAAAGGCAGGTACCTCCAGCCAGTGAAATTTTCCACTTGATACAGATTTACTTTACATAGCGTTATTCTAACATAATGGATTCAATGTGAAGGGATTTCTAAATCCAGTAAAGATCATTTCCTATGCCTGAAATAATACACTGTTCAAATTTGGGGAATTCTTTTGTCTTCTGTTGGAACTAAAATATTGACATAAGAAATACAATCATTCTTTTCAGTTACTGGCTCATTAACAGCAAAATGCTGAGCAGAGTGATTTGAATTGGAGACACAGAACAGGAAAGGGCACTAAAGGAGTAACCTGGTAACCTTTCATAACTTGGTTGTGTAACTTTACTGATCCCAAGAATCTTGTTTCCTGCTTCCTTGCCTTCCCACACCCCGCCCACACATAGAAATTTTGTTTATCTAGGTCAGAAGTCAGATAAACAACATCTTTTTCTAGAACTAGCAGTGGCAATCTAGTGATTAGCATGGCTACATACAGCTAGCAATGGATGAATGGATAAACTCGGTTCAAATGATAAGTGTTTTGGCCTTGAAGGTGTTGATTTACCAGCTATTTTGGCAGAGCAGGAGTATCAATTTTAATTTTTGCGTGTCTTCCTTTGAATTACAGATTTGTATGCTTAGACTTGTTTCGTATCTAAGCCGTAAAAATGAGGAAGTTGTGTGCCTGTTCAATCCAGTCCTGTCCGACATGAAAAGAGTGGGAAGAGAATGTACTGGTGGAAGATATTAAGTATCAACCACTTGTAGACATTTAGATTCCCCATAGACCTTAAGAGAAGAAGAAGATTGCTTT